TTATTCAAAAAATTGGAACAAAATATTTGAATTGAAACACAACAAAAATAATCCAAAAAAATACATCAAGTTTTAATCTTAAAAAAATCAAGAATGGGAAAAAACTACAAATCAGAACACAAAAAAATTTCCACTATAAAAAGCCAAAACTGTACATAATACATATTAGACTTGACAGAAGTATATATTACTTTGTTTAAACGCTTGAAGAATCGGCAGAGTTTGCTTCTCTTAATTGATATTTAAAAATCATTCTACTTTATTCTGCTGGACAATAATTGAACTAGTTCGACTGAATAAAACCTACAGAAAATTTGCACAGTTAAAAAATTTTGTAAGAAAAAATCCTCATCTTCATTATTTTTGCGTTGCAATTACGATATCTGCTCTTTCAAAACAAGCTTAAGACACAATAATCGCGTTCGATTTTGTTTCTGCCAATAATAGAGATTTATGCGCGCAAACACACAAATCAAATCATAATCTGCTTTATATGTAAGCAAAGCTTTTTCCAGAGTTTATATTTACATTTAGTAGTACGTACACAGTAAGTTTTGTGAACATAAAGACTAACATAACAGCATATTCATGTTGGGATAAAAGGCAACTTCCTTTGTCTCCCATGGTGATCGCATCATTGCTTTTGTTCCTCTTTCCCATTGATATCATTCACTGTTACGCTTTTGTTTCTTCTGTTTTCTCCATACATTACTTATTCTCTGACCACGCGTTGCTCTTTCCCCATACCTCAACAGCCCAACAAAATCATTAAAAAAAAAACAGAGGGAGGAAAAGACCGGTATGGCTATGAAAAGACATAAGAATCTCTCTCTCTACCTCTACGTCTAGACGTCTTGACAGAATTGTTCTTTGAAATCATGATGAGTCATTTCTAAGTTTGGCTTGACATGCTGGAGCACTTTTAGGTCCTCGGCGGAAGGAAGCCCAATGAGAGATGTGGCCACTGAGTTCAAAGTTGAATTTACGAAGTGAAGGGTGAATGGGCGCCGGGAAGTGGGACAAAACTTCCTATTGAGGAATTCCTGACAGTGGGGATTGATTGATTGTCATTCATTGTAGATCGAGATGCTTTTCTGATTAAATTATGGGATGGATGGCGATCCCTCGCTCATTCATTCAAGAGAATTTTGGTCCCTAATTATTTAATTCGTTTTGCTTTGCTTGCCTTTTTGGACCGAGATAGTTAAAACACGGCCATGAGGGGTATGGCAATTAATATTTGAATCTGAAGCAGATCTCATAGTTTAGATTGAACAAGTCATATTAAAGGAGGACCCATTAATAAAAGAAGGTTAGATCTAGTTGTCCGATCGGACGTATCAAAACATGAATGTTTGTTTATATAGTTCAAGGGTTAATATCTGAATGAATGTAATAGAATTAAACAATAAACAATACGTTTAATTAATTTTTATCATTTTTGTTTCTGTTTGAGATCATTTTTTATTTCTTGTTTTAAATATTTATTTTTTTCTATTTTAATTATATATTTGTTTCGCCAATTTTTACATGTCCGTAGTTTTGTTTTGAGAAACAAATTAACTTATTTTCAAAAATATTTAAAATATTTAAAAATCATTTTAAATATTTTAGAAATAACTAAATATGTTATTACATATAAAATAAGATTTATTTTAAGCAAAACATAAACAGAATGAAATAATAATAATAAATGATTCTAAAAGCCACCAAATTAAATTTTCACGATCGATTGTGTTTAGAATAAAATGAATCTTTTGATTTA